GGAGGGAGAGAGAATGTGAGTTAGAGACAATAAATATGGATAAAATAGAAAATCAACACAAAAAAGTAGAGACAACTTTTAAATGTCTCTTATATATAGGAACATGCCATAAGCATCAAATGTCTCTTATAATAAGGAACAGAGGGAGTACCTTTAATCCTTAATATAAGACCTCATTTGCCTTTTATTTTTATCCTAAATATAAAACCCTAATCTACTTTATCTCTCATATTTATTCTTTTTTTTCAAGATAATCCTTCTAATAATTGTAGTTTTAGCCAACACACTGGATTAGCAAAGATATTTTAGAAAAGACAACACTTATTTATTATGAATAACTAACTTAACTTATTTTTTTAATCTTCTCAAATTAGTCAATTAGGTCTTATAATTAGGACCGGAGGTTGTGTGTGTATATAAGAATGGATAAGCTACATTTTTAATGAGTCGAGAATAATAATGCAGCGCCTTCCGTGGTAAACACCCAAAAAGGGGGGCGGGGACACTTCATTTCAGATCAAGAAGTATTTGAATGAAAACCAAAATATTATTTTAAAAATAATTTTATCTTATACAAAGTAAACATATGAAAGGGGTTTTGTGTCAATTTCCATAAAAACATTTTTAAAAAGTGTTTTTGGAAGTATCCAAAAACCTGCCAAATCATGCCACAAGCCCAATTCAGTTCGACGCACCCATCATACACTTGCAAGGAGGAATTCCAATTATAAACCGAGTTATATTTAAAACTTAATAAATGTCCTATTTGCAATTAGAATTCTTAAATCTGCAGTCATTTGAATTAATATTTGCAACTGATTTTTCAAAAAAAATTTCACCAAGAACCTAATCGTGATTAATTTGCTCTTTCGGCACTTGGGTGTCATCCTCCCTATACATTATCCCTCTCTTTCAATAAATCAATAGTACCTATCGATTTTTTTTGTTTTTTTCTGTGGACACACGGTGGCATCAATTAAGAAAGAATATAGAATTGAACTTTAAGGGTAGAAGAGCTTGGCGAAGAGAAGCTCATTCCAAGTGTCTTGGAGGCCAGGCAAGCACCAGTGAACACAATCAGCGTAGGAAGCTGGGTTAGCTAACTGCTGAGGAGTCAAAGGGTTCCATTGTTTCTTGTGGATAGCAGTGTGCGCATCTTTGCGATAACCTGAGAGCCGAGTGATGTTGAGGAACGAAATGGGCACTTTGGATTTCCCAAACACTTGTCCTATCACTCTCATTATGCTCCTCTCTGCCTCCCTCCCAGTCGTACGCCCAATCCTCGATCGGTCTCGTTTCATTGTAGCAGTTCCCTTCCGCTCTCCCTCCCCACTCTACGCTCCTGCATGATGATAAGCCCAGACAATTAAACTTTGATATTTCTACCACGTGATGATGATATGCATGCATGCATGTGCAGTACTCACTTTGTGTGAGAAGGAGACATGCTGGTGAAGAAGACTCTTGTGCTGTTAGGGTCCATGTTCTGCTTCACCCATTTTAGCATACTCTTCATGGCCATGCGATAAGCATCATCGGTTGACATGTGTGCTATGTCTTTCACTTTGTCATCAAAAGATCCGAGCCTGAACTTTTTGTTGTTACATATGTCAGTTTTGCAAAAGAAAGAACGAATATGGTTGGGTAGGTAATTAGTTTGGCTGTTAGTTAAGAATTGAAGGAACTCACAGGATCTTCATCTTGGAGCCGGTCATCCACCAGAGGTAGGTGTTGAATACTATGATATCAGCGCCTTTCCAATTCCGACCGTGCTTGTTGATGGAGCCCTTTCTGACGATCCTGTCGGTTATCCTGTGGACGACGGCATCGTCGGAGTTGGACTCAAGAAGAAACGGCGCCCAGTAGAACTCGATGGTGGCGTTATAGTTCTAAAACGAACATATGTAGAAATGCAGAGTCATACCAGTTATGCGTGATTGTGTTGAACAATACAAGAAGCAAGCAATGCAAGGGAGAAGGATGAATAATAAGTTACCTTGGCGGTGAAGACGGTGAGGGAACCGAAGGTTTCCATGGATTTGGCTTCTGGAGGAATGAGGCGATGCAGGAGACAGACCATGGAGACATACTGACCACGATTCAGGGAGTCTCCCACGAACATCATCCTCTTCCCTCGGAGTGTTTCCAGCATCAAGCTCGCATTGAATCTGTACCCCTTGATCATTCATTGTGTTAATTCCGAGATTTTAACCATATCAACTTCTAAGTTTATAATTAGTTATAACATCAATCTCATGGGATCGGATACATAGGGAAATTTTGAAGAAATGCCAAGGCTATTTTTGGCATTGGCCGGAAAGCACGTAATTCCACATTGATATATAAGTACATGATCTGCGCATTACTGCATTTGCCTCGAACATGGGCCCATAGTGAATTTGGTCTATGGATCCTTAAACGCTTCTTTGGTAAAACTGAGAAACACGTCACTTCCCTCAAAACAATTCTTTGGGGAAAAAAAAATTGCAGTTTCCCATTATATTAGATCTAGCATGAAACAGAAATCAAGTAAGAAAGGTTAAAAACTGTCACTAAACGAAAGGCAAGATCCTAATCAAATTTCCAACTTGGCGTTTTAATCCTTTGAATTTTTCAAAAGTGGGTTAAAAATTACTCCTGAACAATGGCAGGAGTGCAGGACAACCGGGGCATACTGATACTGGGTCCCACATAAAAGAACACGCCTAACTTTTCCTTTGGACCAGGGTGAGGGGCCTAGCTGGCAATTTGCCCATGGGCATTTAAGCTTAATGTCGCATGAAAAAATTTTATAAAAAAAAAAAAAAATTAGCACAATAAAACACACGTACCCAACACACTTACATATACACCCACTCCACGCAACCATTGGGCTCAGAGACCGTTGATACTTGATAAATTCTAAATGCGATCGATTTTATGTCTAAAGGAGCATTTCATTTTTATATAAATATTATTTTATACGTGAAAGAATCAAATAGTGGTAATATATATATATATATATATATTTTCTAAACACATCAATGCAACCAAAGGCACATTTCACTAGGGCTCTTTTTAAGGATGATGGGACTACATTTTGCCGCCTGTTCCCACTCATGTTTATCAAAAGCCTGAGTTATTTTAGGCTATACAAGAGCAAGCTGAGCAAGGTAGGCTTCTCTATCCGAACAAAGACATCTTACTTATAATATTATATATGAAGAAAATTTCAGTCAAGTACTAAAAAATAACATTTTAAACATTAAATATACTCCATAATTTCACAACTTGTAACATTAAAAAAATTAATATAATTATATAAAAATATTAGTAGTTCACATCTGTTCACCTAAATTTCATAATAAAACACAAGTACACAACACAGTCTTAACACAATATCCATTCTTAAACAAGGAAAAAAAAAATCATCCATAAGCTATTGAAAATAAGTCAACTAAAAGACTATAATGCCACAATAATAAGCATGCATATTATAATTTTTTAAATAAAATTATATATATTTTATAAGCAGAACAGCATATTGTGCCTGATGCCCAACCTAACCAACAAATGGCTCTACTTGAAATGGCCCAATATTTCCTAGGGCCATTTTTTTGGGTAGGGCAGGGTATTTCTTTTTTATTGGTGATGGCAGTCACATGAACACCCCCTACATTTCACAGAAAAGTCCAGCAGTAACATTTTATATTTTTCAATTAGAAGCATTTTCTAAACAGTATTTAATTTGGCACTTATGAAGCAATACCAGAGGAATCCTACGGTAACTCTACTTTCTTTTTAAAGCCAAAAAAAACACTAGCTAGCCGGTAGCGCTTAAAACATACATCTAGCTATTTCTTAGCTCAAAAAAAAAAAGAACATATAGATAAATTACTATTAAAGCCTTGTTTTTAGTAGTGATTAAATTATAAAAAATAATAATGATATTAACTCCAAAAAAAAAAAAGCAAATCTGCAGTGCTTAAAACATCCAATGCTACTGCTTAGTTTAAAAAATTTAACATATAAAATTTAAATAAAAGGTAATACTTACTATTTTTCAAAGAAAAAAAAAACTTCTATATATAGATGTATTGTAGTGTTTGGATTTGGTGGTGAAGGCTTCTTCAATATTATACGTTTTGTCTCGTACGAAAAATACTTACATAAGAGGACAACTACAAATTCCAATGAAATGTGTATATACTTAACGATAAAATTCATTTGATATATTCATTAATTTCATACACATTCGAAACCCGTTTAACCAAAAACTAAGACTGTACATTTTTGGTTCAAAACCTGTAATCATCTTAGGATTAGGATCGCAGTAACAAAAATCTTTTTAAGAAATCACTTGGGTCAAATATTGATGTGATACATATATATGATAATATTGAATATATTAACTATTGTAGCTGGCTTTTACTTGTCAACCACATTGTCTCTTCACAAGGACGGCCATCAGTTCACACGTGCCAAGCACGCACATTTCCGGTCGGCCCCTCCGGTTTTCCACTTTCCCGAAAGTTGTCGGCAATGGATTTTCAAGCAATTGAATCCGATTCACCGATGATTGTTGCGGTAAATCAGAAGGCAAGCAAAGTAAAAGGTAAAAGGCAAGGCAAAAAGCAGGAAAGAGGTTCGATGGGGACACTTACTTGGGAAGATCGCAACCCTCGGGCTGCCATCTCCAGTGCTGGTACTCCTTCTCCGGCCGCCCATGCTCCTGACACGTCAGCTGTGGCTGTATGTACGGACACTCCGATTCCTCGTACAGCGGCCTCGCCGCCTCGTCCCGCACCCAGCTCCCACTGAACACATCGCACCCCTCCTGCGTTCTCCCGACGGCGAACGGCACTGCTTCCTGCCGCCGCCTTATAACCCTTTCTGGTATCTGAGAAGAATGATGAACATCGGGGCTTGAATTGAAGTGGTGGGACTCGCCGGAGGGATGAGGATGTGACGAGAGATGAAGAGGAGATTGTGGGCATAGAGGACGGAGACGAAGAGGATGAAAGCTAATAAGGTGAGGAGAGAAGCGGAGAGAGACGAGAAGAGCGAGAAAACGGAGGCTTCATTTGCATGAACACCCCAGGCCTGTTTGGGGTCAGTGGATTCTTCCTCATCTCACTTTCCCCCTCAATTAATATTGGCCTGGGATGGGAGCCCTAAATTGTTCATTTGCTGTGTACCTTTTATTATCATTACTTGTTCTAGTTGTATGCTGCTTTTATATTTAGAGCATCATTTTTCTTCTCTCGCCAATTTCACCTTTTTTTCTTTTTTGGCATGACAATTTTATTTTGTTTTCGAGGAAAAAGTTATTTTACAAATATTTATACTCTCTCTATTTTAATTCGAATATTTGATACCTTTATATGGCCATTATTTTTTTTATTAAATCGCTTAATTTTGCTTTAAGTTAAAGAATTTCATTTAAAAAAAGAAAAGACAGTACTACTCTATATCGAATTAAAAGTTGAAAAAAAATAATAAATGCCTCCAAAATAATTTTCCGCGTGTATGGAAGCTAAGTCGCGAAGACTGCCATTTCTCTACATCTGGTATTTAGAAGTTAGTTTAGTAACACCGGTCTCGTGCCCGAATGAAAATCAAAAGATAAAATGGTCGATATTGGCTAAAATAATTTAAATTTGAAGGCGTGCAACTAAAATCTATGGGTGTAATTTTTCTTCCATTATGTGTAACATGTCATCAATGATATGTAACAATTATTAATATAAAAAATCATTTACACACAGCGAAAGATATGTTGTATAAAACGGATAAAAAAGTTATACTTACGGATCTTATAGTTGTATGCTCTCAAATTTAAATCTTTTTAAACAGTTAAATTTTTAAACAGGAATTTTGTACCAAATTTCCCAACTTATTATCTTTGACCGGACAAATTTAATCTTTTTATTCTGATTCACATTAACTCTTGTTTGTGGAGTATAACGTAATTATTCTCATTAAAATAATCACAGCAAATATACAATTATTTCCTTGCATCAGGCATGAACATGGCCCTATATAATTGAGGTGGTTTGATGCATGTGATTTATTAGGTAAGTGATTCCCCCTAATTTTTTTAATCAAGTGCCTCATTTGCCTTCAGCGCAAGCTATTTTTTGAAACGAAAAAAAAATATTGAAAATGAATGGGGATTATTGTTAGATGACAGTAGGATCAAACTGATCATATAGCAATTCGTGTTCGTCTCAAACATAAAATCTCAATCTATTTTGATTCCTAAATTTAGATTTTTTTAATATCCCTATTAATTTCATATAATAAAGTTTTTTGTGAAGGTTAATTACAACGTGCATATTTAAAAAGGATAACATAAAAAAATCAGGCATCCTTCTTATTTAACTAATTTTTAATATACACAAATTAGGTATTTAATTCTTATATTAGTATTACCTCCTGTCCTAATTATAAGATTTCGTTTATAGTTTATAAACAAGATCTTATAATCAGGATTAGAGGTAACATTAAGAATTAGAAGGAATGTTTAGATTATTGTTTATAAAATGGGCAGACATTTTCCACTACCTTCAGGCATCCTTCTGCATTCCACTCATTGGTCTGGAATAATCTATCTGTAACGCTGGCAGAATTAGAATTTAAAAAACAAAATAATATAAAAACAGATAAAACCATGCAACCTGGAAAGCAGGGTTGGAGGATGTGAGTTACAACAGTGCGTGGTGAGAACATGGGGTTAGCGTAAAATTCGAGGATGTTTTATTGTAATTTAAAAACATAAAAAGGGTTTATATATATACAAAACAAATAATTACTGCTGAAAAGGCTCTGCACTTGTGATTATAATTTAACTTTAACTCGGCTCAATCCATGTTTATAATAGTCGCAGAAAAAGCTTTGCACTCATAGAATCCAATCTCTCCAGAATCTTGTTGGTGTTAAAGAGAAAATAAAAAGTCTAAGTTTGGTGTTAATAATAATAATAATAACAACAACAATAATAATAATATTTTTTTAAAAAAACAAAGGATTTGGAGTTTAGGTACGTGGCAGGTGAAAAATGTATTAGGTCGCATTAGCTTTCACGTGCACCTTACTCATGGGACTTTAGTGTCATTGGCGGATTATGTGCTGGACATTCGAGCTGGACCATGATTGATCAACTAAATTCCAATTAATTAATGATTTTCTCCAACTAACCGAGATTCCTAATCCATAATCAATCCATTTGACTGCTTATATTTGAGTTAATTTTGGAAGTGATCTACGTTCATAGTGTTACTTGCTTCAATCTGTCAGTTGGCCTATGCGCGCAGAGAAATTGAGGAGTCCATCTCTTGGCAACTTCCATGTCCCCTTTACCTGTGAGGTTTGATGAAACATGCTATCAGCATATTTAACTTTCAAGTCAATATACTCCTCTACCTATTGTTATAAAAGAATAACAACTAAAATATGGACCTGATAACTTGTTTTTTTTTTTTTTGCTATCACAGTTATTCTCTCGCTAAAAACAAACCCTTTTTAAGTATTACCGGGTACTAAATATAGATATTCCTCCTAATAAAAATCAAATCCTAATTTGTATATTGTGAGGACTAACCCTTTTTTCCCCTAAAAATATAAATATCCTCATATTGGAGGTAATTTTATTTGAGATATATTAGGTACTAAATGTTGGCATCTGTTCCAAATGAAATTGAACTTTAGTTTGTCATATTGTGAGGGATAAACTCTCTTTACTAGACTCAATCCTGTTGGTAGCCCATGACTAATGAGACAAGAAGCCACAATTAACTCTTTTGGGTTTTTGGCGAAATTAA